AAATTCTATCACGTGATTTCAGGCATTGTTATTTTCCAACTACCTTTCCTTCTTTTTTGTTTCCAACTTTTGCATTCCAATTGCCAGTAATTATCAATGCATCTTAATTGCATGTTTGATCAATTTTAGACTGCAGAAGTTGGTAAAAATCTTCAATTTCTTCATCTTTAGCCCTAGTGGTTGGTGTGTAAATTTGAATAATAGTCGTACTAACTGGTATTTCCTGTAGGCGTATGGATATTATCCTATCACTGACAGCGTTGTACTTCAGGATAGATCTTGAAATGTTCTTTTTGACAATGAATGCAAAGCCATTCCTCTTCAATTTGTCATTCCCCACATAGTAGACCATATGATTGGCTGATCCAAAATGGCCAATACCAGTCCATTTCAGCCCACTAATGCCTAGGATATTGATGTTTATGTGTTCCATTTCATTTTTTTATAACTTCCAATTTTCCTAGATTCATACTTTGTACATTCCATGTTCCGATTGTTAATGGATGTTTCCAGCTGTTTCTTCTCATTTTGAGTCATGAATATATATACACACACCCACATATACATGTGTTGTTGGGTGCCATCAAGTCAATTCCAACTCATAGCAACCCCATGTGACAGAGTAGAACTGCCCTGTAGCATTTTCTTGGCTGTAATATTTATGGAAGCAGATTACCAGGTCTTTTTTCCTCAGACTGCTGGGTGGGTTTGAACTGCCAATCTTTTGGTTAGCAGCCAAGCACTCAACCATTGTGCCACCAGGCTCTCTCTCTGGCTCTCTCTGTCTATGTATATGGTGGTTAAAGTTGTGTGTCAACTTTGCCGGGCCACGATTCTCAGGGGTTTGGCAGTTATGATGTAGTTTAGTGGTTGTATGATGTTGTGATCACTTCCATGATGAGATCTGCTGTGAGTAGCCAATCAATTGAAAGGGAGTTTCCTTGAGTATGTGGCCTGCACTGACTATAAGTGGACTTTCTAGCAAGGCTTGTGGGCTTTTGCTCGATCTGGATCCTGCAGCTGGCTGTTGATCATCTGACCTCCAGTTCTTGGAACTTGAGCTAGCAGCTTACCTGTGGTCTTGCCTGCCGATCTTGGGATTCATCAATCTTCGCAGCCTGTGAGCAAGAACCCTGCTCTCTGACGTTCTGATCTTGGGTTCGCCAACCCCTGTGGCTACATGAATCAGGAGAAGCCTCTATCCTGACCAATGGACTTGGGACATTCCAGCCTGTACAACTGCATCAGCCATTTCCTTGATATAAATCTCTATATATTTATACGCTTTACTGGTTTTGCTTCTCTGAAGAACCCAGCCTAAGACTATATATATATGTAAAGTTATATGTGTGTATATGTATATAATATATACACATACATAGTATATATATATATATATACACATATGTATATAGTGCATATATACATAAGTTTTTTTTCTGAATAATTTGAGAGTAGGTTACAGATTTGATGCCTCTTTACCCCTAAACATTTCAGTGTGAATTTTCTAAGAACAAGGCCATTCTTTTAAATAACCACAGTAGAATTATAAAAATCAGAGAATTTAACATTGATGTACTACTAGTATCTCATTAGTAGTTCTCATTCAAATCTTGCTCATTTTCTTTTGTAGCCATTTTTATTCTGATCCAGGATCCCTAACCAGAACCATGCATTCCATTCAGTTTCCCTGTTTCATTAAATAATTTCTCAGCCTCCTTTGTCTTTCATGACATTAACATTTGTGAAGAATATAGGCCACATTTTGATCAAATACTCTGGAGAAGAATCCTGATCAAAAGGGGGAAAATTTCAAATTCTAATGGAATCCAGACATCCTGGAGCCATGAAGGCTGGATGCACCCCTGAAACTATTTGTCTTAGGCTGGGTTCTCTAGAGAAGCAAAACTAGTGAAGCATATAAATATATAGAGATAGTGAGATTTATATCAAGGAAATGGCTCACATAGTTGTAGAAGCTGGAAAGTCCCAATCCAGGGGTCAGGCTGGAGGTTTCTCCTGACTCACTTAACTGCAGAGGCTGGTGAACCCAAAATTGGCAGGTCAGACAGCAGGCCTCTTGCTCACAGGCTGTGGAGGTAAAAAATTCCAAGATCGGCAGGTAAGATGCTAGCTCTATCCCAAGAACCAGAGGTCAGGTGAACAAGAGCCAGCAGCAGGATCTAGACAGACTGAGCAAGAGCCAGTGAGCTTTACCAGAAAGTCCACCTACATTGGATGCAGGCCACATCCCAAAGAAACTCCCTTTCAACTGATTGGCTGCTCATAACAGATCTCATCATGGAGTGATTACATTATTACATAGTTATCAAACTACATCATAACTGCCAAACCACTGAGAATCATGACCCAGCCAAGCTGACATACAACCTTAACCATCCCACTATTGCCCTGAGATAATCTTTAAACCTAAACCAAAAATATCCCCTGAAGTCTTCTTAAAACCAAACAATAGTTTAGCTTAAATAGCAAAGAACGTCTGCCTTGAGCATTATGCTCTTTTAAGATCTATCTATCCAGGATCAAATCGACAACAGCACTTGTAAGGCGCTCTGGTGGTGCAGTGGTTAAGTGCTCAGCTACTAACAAAAAGGTCAGTGTTTCAAACTCACCAGCTACTCCATGTGAGAAAGATGTGACAGTTTGCTTTCATAAGGATTACAGCCTTGGAAATACTATAGGGCAGTTCTACTCTGTCCTACAGGGTCGCTATGAGTTGGAATCAACCTGATGGCAATGAGTTTGGTTTGTGGTTTAAGAAATTTGTTGGATGGTTTTTTTTTTCAGAGTACAAAAATAAGTTTATTATAGCTCAATATATTACCACAAAGTGAATTTTCAAGACTTCTTTTTCTTTCTTTTTTTATTGTGGTAAATATATAGGTAACAAAATATTTGCCATATCAACAATCTTCGCATGTACAGTTCAGTGATATTAAATATGTTTATCATATTGTTCAACCGTCACGGATGGACTTTTAGTAGCTAAGAATTGAAAATAATCCGAATACCATAGAATACTGGATGACTGGTAAAGAATGAGGTTGCTCTATGTACACTGGCATGGACCGATGTCCAACGTATAAATCAAAAAACCAAAACCTGTTGCCATCAAGTCGATTCCGACTCAGTGACCCTATAGGATAGGGCAGAACTGCCCCATAGGGTTTCCAAGGAGCACCTGGTTGATTTGAACTGTTAACCACTACGGGAAAATAATAAATTGGACACCAGTAATCATTTGGGGGTGACAGGAGTTAGCAAAGACTTTAACTTCCTATATATTTCTGTATTATAAACTTTAAAATAAATAAATAAACACTAACATAGGAGCACTTAGTACACGCCAGGCACTATGCTAAACGTTTTATGTGCAGAATTTCATGGCATCTTCTCAATAAGCTTGTGAAATAGGTCCTAATATCATCATCCCCATTTGTAGATGAGGAAATAAGCTCAGGGGTGTTAAATAATTTACAGCAGGCCCATCACACCATACCATACCACCTTCCAGTATTTTTATAATTTAAAAAAAAAAGGGGGGGAAATAAGATGAAACTAGGGGTAACAGAGTTCAGGATCCAGGTTTTATACAAAAGATGCTAAGCAAATTTGGCTGAGCTCCAGAGAATGAGGAAACAAGAGATCTTTGGTGCTTAAAAGATAAAACCAAACCACTTATTAAGACAAACACCTTTCCCAACTGCTGAGGTTTGAAAGAACTTCTCCATGAAGCTCATAAACATGGCACTGTGCAATCACATGGTCCACAGCTTCAATAACACACCTGTATATCCAGGTATCTGTTGGCCAGCTACAAAGGGAAGTTCAGTAAAAGTAGTTCCACCAGGGGCCAGATTGCTACAGCTTGCGCATCAGACCTGGTGATTAGGCTTGACCCATAGTTAAAACTGGATGTGTGGCCTAACCTTCCAGCAAACCCCTAGAATTTTGCAAACCTCAGCCTATTAAGAATTAAAGACCGTTGGCAAGAATCAGAAAACAAGTACTTTCTTTTTTTTCCATATTCATTCATTCATTCATAAATTTCAACCCTCATGAACCTTCCAGGTAGGCTTGGTTGGTTTTATGCCCCTTTTACAGATGAAGAAACTGAGGCTTGGAGAACCTAAAGTTTCATGACTAGAAAATGTCAGAGCCAGCCCTAAACCTAGGTCTCAAGTACCCCTTCTCCAGCCAGCCTGCTACACCTCAACAATAGAGTTTATACCCTCAGAATCTATCTGTGGGTGGTGGGCTGCAGGATCAAGGGAGTCTAGAAGGGGTGACAGCCTGCACGCTGGAGGAGGGCTGGTGAAGAGGGAAGCTAAGCCCAGCTGGTCCAGGGGCACATCGTCTCCAGAGGCCCACCCTAACTTCCACTCTTTTCCTGACACCTCCCTAGACCCCAGGCAGGGAGGTAACGCTCCCATTACACAGATGTGGAAACGCCCAAGCTATAAAAATGATCTCACAGCATACACTTGACTGCATTCATTTATTATCTTTTCATTACAAGTTGGGGATCACTGGCCCTGAGCTTGTGGAGGGCGTGGTGCGGGGAGTTCTGCAAGGGAGAGGAGAGGAAGAAAGGCAAACCTGGAGCTTATTGTGGGGCAGGCTACTGGGGAGGGGAAAAAGATGGGGAAGAGGAGGAACTGAGGAAATAAAGGATCTGGGCCCTTCCTCCACCCCACACCCAGGCTTCCCAAGTCTCTCTGGACATAAAGGAACAGGACACCCAGAGATGCCTTCATCCCTTTTTGCCCTTCCCCCATCGTCCAGCAATAACGTGAGAGAAACCAAGTAAGTGCAGGAATGGGCGGCGGGCAGCATCGGGGTCTTGGTAAAAATGTAAAAAAGACAGGTGACAGTTGCACTCAGCTCTCTACATAGGTGAAGAAGCTGCTCTCCTCTCTGGCTGGCGGGCGGCGCAGGGGAGAGCTGCGCCGCCCGCTAGGCCCTCCGGCGCCCTCAGCTCAGGCCTTTCCTCTTCTTCTGGCGGCCGCGTTCCTTAGTTTCCCGGGCTGGGCTGAAGTCTCCGCCGCCCGAGCGTCGGTCGGCGGCGAAGTCGCTACCGCCGCTGGCGGGCCGGCGCAGCACGCGCCTCTCGACGCGGTACTCGGGCTCGCGGACACGCGGCGCGGCCTGCAACAGGAACTCGCCGCGGCGGTAGGTGATGCGCACGTCGGTGCGCGGGTAAGTGCCATACACGCGCCGCAACTCCCGAAGCACGTAGTCGGGCAGCTTGCGCTGCGGGCCCGGGGCGAGCACCACGCGGCCCCAGCGCAGCTCAGCCTGCAGGCTACCGCCCTCTGGCCACGGCGCCCAGCTCTCGCCTGCCGCCGCTGCCGCCGCCGCCGCCGTGGGGGGTTGCAGCACGGGCCCCGCATAGCCGGTCGCGGGGAACGGCGGGCCCAGGACTGCGGCGTAAGCCTGCGGAAAGGCCCACAGGGGCGGGGCTGGCGGCAGGGGTGCGTTTGGGCAGTAGAAGCAGTGGTACTCCCGCGGGGACGCCCACTCACTCGCGCTCATGCTCGGGGGCCGGCTGCAGAAGTTGTGGGCCTGGATGGGAGGCAGCAGCAGAGGGGCGGGCAGGTACGTGGAGATAAGGGGCTGCAGCGGAGGCCAGAGGCCCTCCTCGGGCGGCAGGCAGCTGTATGAGTACATGGTCTGAACTTCAGGCGTAGGGCATTTTTGCTGGGGCCTGGTCGAGTTCTAGAGCTGTGGGAGCGGGCACAGACTTTGTTCTTACCACCACCACCACCACTATCACTACCCGTCTCTGCAGCCTGGTAACCCAGAGGCCTCTGGTTAATGGCAGACGCCCATATATACCGCCTGGCTTTTGGGAACTCTCCCTAAATCAGGTGTTCAGTTCCCTGCCTCATCTCTTGGGCAGGCTGGGCCTGAACCCCATGCTCCTAGCAGGTAATAAGGACCCAAGCCCTCAGCCCTGACATGTTCTTCGCAGGTAGCTCCCCACTTACATGTCTCCTTCAGCCTGGGGAGTTGGTCCCCAGCCAGAGGGGTCCAGAGTGGGGCTCCTCTCTGCCACTTTTCAGTCGAGCTATCCCCCTCCATGCCCTACCTCAGCCACACCTCCCTGTTACCAGGCAAAGGGAAACACCTTGAGCTGGCCAGGGGCCAACCAGCCTGTGTGTACACCTGGGTGAGCCGACTGTCACACCGGCCCAACCTAAAGGCTAAGGTCTGTGCCCTCCCCACAACATACACTTCCCAACTCTCTTTCCAACCCGCACCCCAACCTCCCAGCCCCTCCAGATGGGTTGGGTTACCCTAACATTTGAGTGAAGCCCTTACACACCAGGCACTGAATCAGGTTGCTTATAAGCATCTAACTTCAATTTCACATCAACCCTGGGAAGAAAGTACTAATATCATCCTCACTTTACATAGCAGGAAGCTGCTTGCCTCAGAGTTGGTACACAATGTTGTTTTGTGCTGTTCAGTCAATTCCGACTCATAGTGACCCGATAGGACAGAGTATAACTGTCCTATAGAGTTGGCTAGGCTCTAATCTTTACGGGAGCAGATTGCCAGTTCTTTTCTTCCGCGAGCAGCAGGTGAGTTCAAACTGCTGATCTTTGAGGTAGCAACTGAGCGCTTAACCATTGCACCACCAGGGCTCCTAGGTACACAGTAGATGTATTCAATGACTGGAGCTCATGTAGGTTAAGTAACTTGCCCAAACTCACACAGCTAGTTATGGTAAGGGCAAAATTCAACCCTTTGCCTGTCTCAGGCTCATGCTGACAATATTAGACTTATCACCAATCCATGCTGGGGCTTCTTTCAGACTTTCTCACAGTCTTCCCCTCTAGAATGTTACATGAAGTCTCCTAATTCTTAACAGCCATGTGAAGTAAACGATGACAGCATTCTCGTTTAACAGATAAGGAGCCAGAGGCTCAGAAAGGTTAGGCCACTTTCCTTGGATCACACAACCTATAAGTGGCACAGTGGGATTTGATTTTTTTTTTAATTTTTTTATTATACTTTAGATGAAAGTTTACAGAACGAATAGTTTCTCATTAAACAGTTAGTACACATATTGTTTTATGACATTGGTTAACCCCACAACATGTCAATACTCTCCCTTCTTGACCTTGTTCCCTATTACCAGCTTTCCTGCCCCCTCCTGCCTTCTAGTCCTTGTCCCTGGGCTGGTGTGCCCCATTAGTCTCGTTTTGTTTTATGGACCTGTCTAATCTTTGGCTGAAGGGTGAACCTCAGGAGTGACTCATTATGGAGCTAAAAGGGTATCCAGGAGCAATACTCTTGGGGTTTCTCCAGTCTCTGTCAGGCCAGTAAGTTTGGTCTTTTTTTGTGAGTTAGAATTTTGTTCTATGTTTTTCTCCAGCTCTGTCCAGGACCCTCTGTTGTGATCCCTGTCAGGGCAGTCAGTGGTAGTAGCCAGGCACCATCAAGTTGTACTGGCCTCAGTCTGGTGGAGGCTGTGATAGCTGTGGTCCATTAGTCCTTTGGACTAATCTTTTCCTTGTATCTTGTTTTCTTCATTCTCCCTTGCTCCCGAAGAGGTGAGACCAGTGGAGTATCGTAGATGGCTGCTCACAGGCTTTTAACACCCCAGATGCTACTCACCAAGGTAGAATGTAGAACAGTTTCTTTATCAACTATGTTATGCCAATTGAACTAGATGTTTCCCAAGACCATGGTCCCCATAGCCCTCAGCCCAGTAATTCGGTCCCTCAGGGAGTTTGGACGTGTCTGTGGAGCTTCTATGACCTTGCCTTGTACACACCCTATAAGTGGCACAGTGGGATTTGAACCCAATTGCGGTGCAATGAATTACATAATGTGACCCTTCTAGCCATGGTCTTTGTGACTCACATACAGTGATTGGGGAGGACTGTACAGATAGAGTAATTGTGGCCCACCAAAGGGATTGGTCAACTTTGCCATCCTGCCAAGCTTAAAAGAGAGCCAATTCCAGAGCAAAGAGAGGATCCCACTACCACCAATGAAGAACAGCCAGGAGCGGAGAATGTGTCCTTTGGACCTGGGATCCCTGTGCTGAGGAGCTCCTGGAACCAGGAGATAGAGATAGAGAGAGCTCTTGAGAAGCAAGTGGCAGAGAAACAATGGCAGGAGAGACCAGCAGGGGATGGTGTGGTGGACTTCCCAGCCCACAGAGTGAGAAAGCTGAGTGTCTTTGGGCAGGAAACTTGCTGGTGGAGTGGGGTGCCTCCGGGCACTTATCAGCAGAGCTAAAAGAGCTTTGTAACACTTGCCTGAGCAGGACAAAGGCTGAGGGCCAGAGAGGCGTGCCTGTGAGCACAGCGGAGAAGATGCTGTCTTCATGGAAGAACTGTATCCTGAGCGTTTCTGAACCTGAATCGTAACCTGTTACTTCCCTAATAAACCCCATAATCGTAAGTATTGTCTGTGAGTTCTGTGTGGCCACTGCAATGAATTATGGAACCCAGCAGAGAAGTAGGGAGTGCCATGGGAGGGATGGCTGGTGTCAGAATTGGTAAAGATGGTGGAGAGAGGAGGCATGTCTGACCTCTGCCTCATAGGAATTAGCCTTGGGCTGTTGATCTTGATTCTCCTTCCTCCTTGTGAAGTTAGAGGAGGTCAGATGCCACCCCCACACCATTTTTACACCAGCCAACTAATGCCAAAGCCTAGAAGCCACTCTGGTGAAGCCAAAGAGATTGCACCATCAGCATGGGGTGAGTCTTGGTAAGTGTCCCCTGCCCGAGCTCCAGTCCCCTCTGGGGGCAGGTCACCTTACTTTCCCCCAGTGAGGTGGGTGGTAGCTGCTGAATGACTAAAACTGATACCTCCCCAGCTGCTGAGCTGTGGGGCCTTCACACTTTCCCTCTCCCTCCCCTTCCCCTGTTGATTCAAGGAGGATTACCAGCACCCCCACCCCCAGGCTCTCCTGGGTTCTCAGCATCCCTCAAAGCCCAGCTACCCTTTGGAAGGCCTTCTGCCATCACCTTAGTGATGTCACATTTATTTGTTCCTGACTGAGCCACTCTTCCAAGTCAAACTTGGACCAATGGCCTAGTGAGGGCAGCTACTGGGGCTGGGCTCTGGACTTGACCAGGGCTTCATTTGGAATTTCCCATACACCCACTACGTCACAGCTCCAAGAAGGGAGCCTTTCCCTCCACCCATTATAAGAACTGGGCCCAGCTATTGGAAGAAACCTCCTGTGGTAGGTAGAATAATGCCCCCCCACCCCCTCCAGATATCCATGTCCTTATTCCCAGAACCTGTGAATATGTTGTTACATGGCAAGGGGGGACTAAGGTTGCAAATGGAATTAAGGTTGCTTATTAGCTTAGTTTAAAAGGAGATTATTCGTGTGGGTCCAGTGTAACCATCAAAAACCCAAAACCCATTGTCATTATCGATTCTGACTCATAGCAACCCTATAAGACAGAGTAGAACTGCCCCATAGGGTTTCCAGGAGTGGCTGGTGGATTCAAACTGCCCACCTTTTGGTTAGCAGCTGTAGCTCTTAACCACTGCATCACCAGGGACAGTGTAACTACAAGGGACCTAAATTTGAAAGAGGATGCCGAAGAGTCAGTCATTTGATGTGAAAAAGACTTGACTGACCATTGCTGTCTTTGAAGGTCACCATAAGCCAAGAATGTGGAGAGTCTCTAGAAGCAAGAAAATAGATTCTCCCCTAAAGCCTGCAGAAAGGGACGCAGCCCTACCAACACCTTGATTTTAGCCCATGAGACCTGTTTCGGACTTCTGAATCCAGAGCTGTAAAATAATAAATGTGCATTGTTTGAAGCCACTGAGTTTGTAATAATTTGTTAACAGCAGTAATAGGAAACTAATACACCTCCCCACCCCTATTTATAATATTCCCCATCCCCTAAAATTCCAGGACCTGAGGGGTGTCTGAAGGCTACTTATGGATTGACCTCACCCCTGCCTAGAGCTTAATGTTGGGCCCATGGGATTGACCCAATTTCTCCACCTGCTTTCCCTCCCCAGGAGGGATCTGGTCACACCTGGGTGGGGAGAGTTGAAGACTAAGCCCAAGTCAAAGCCTGGGAGAGTGAGGAGCCCGGACTTCAACTTTTTAGGCATTTGGTCCCCGCATGCTTGCTGAGGACCCCTGCTGGCCTGGGGAGGAAGCTTTCAGGAAAAAGAAAAGGACCAAGCAGTGAGTTTCTTGGAATTCCTTACCCTGGCTCCAGTAGCAGCTCCCAGGTCTTTTTTGTCTCCTACACCTTACCTACTGTCAGTTAAGTGGTCTGGGGGAGTTCACTCCGTTCCAACCTTCGGGGTGTGCAGGTGATTTAGGCCTAAACCAATCAGCATTGCCATCCATCTGGACATAGTGATTGGTTTGGGATAGCCACGTGACCCAATTTGGACCAATGGGAGCTAAGCCCAGGAGTTTGTTCTCTTGTTGAATGGAAGTGCTCTCTTTCCACAGGACGGAAATCTGAAAGACTGCAGGGTGGGTTGTGAGGCGAAGGCCTGTCTGAACATGGAGCCACAAAAGAAATGGAGAGGAGAGGCAGAGAAAGAAATTGGGTCCTGATGACATCGTTTGAGTCCTGGATTTGAAAGACACACAAGTCAATAAATTCCTTTTTTTTTTTTTGCTTAATTTGAATGGGGTCTTCTATTGCTTGCATTAATGGATACATCTCTGAATACTTTCCCCTCAGCATTTTATTATTAAAAAGTTCAAAATACAGCAACCTACTAGTTTTTGATCAGGGAGCCTTGTGGTCAGATCTGTGTTTTAAGACTCTCACTTGGGGGCAAAGTGGAGGACAGATTGGAGAGAGAGAGGCTGGAAGCTAGTCATGGAGGAGGTCCTCACAATAACTCAGGAAAACTATATATATATATATATATATATATATAAAAATAGAAAGATTTATCTCAAGGAGATGGCTGAGGCAGTTGTGGAGGCTGGCAAGTCCCAAATCTGTGGGTCAGGTGTCAGGCTGCTGGAGGCTTCTTCTGACTCATGTGGTTGCACAGGCTGAAGAACCCAAAATCAGCAGGTCAGATGGCAGGCTGCTGGCTCACAGGGCTATGGAAGCTGG